CCTAACCTAGCTTAACAAAATTCGTTTTAACATTCTCGGGGTAAAACAAATTATAACGTTTTTCGGTACAACGTTCTCGGAGCAAATAAGTTTAAAATGTTTTTCGTTATAACGTTCTCGGGGTAAAAAAAGTTATAACGTCATTTCTAGTTAACGTTTATGAACATAATTTTGAACTGAACGAATAAATAACGGTTAACGGAGCCCTGGTCCCTGGTTTAAATGAATCCAAACATTGTCAAAATGAAATCAATTGCGATTTATAATAATGCAGAAGACCTACTACATAAAATATCTCATTTAAGTTAATTTTGGAAAATTATCAACATGACTTGATATGAAGCTAACGTTCGTATGGTTATGTACAAAAGTTAGTTGCATACAACAAAATATCAACATGATAATATATGCATTTAGATATTTATAATAATATTTTTGAGTTTTGACAAAAAGAGTGTAGGGCTAATTTCGATTTTTTGAAGAACGATAAATATGCGGTCACAAATCATCTTCCACTATGAACCAGGTGTTTAAACCAGTATGGTTGGAAGCTCATAGTTATGTTACCAGCAGCTATACATGCCTAACTTAACCACTTTAGGTCACTCAAAAAGTTTTTACTCGTTTTCTAAAAATTTGCTATTCGTGACTTACGCCTGTTCTCAAAAAACTCATTCGTTTATTTCCTACTCTTAAAATACAATAAATTAGCTATATCTGTACAAACACATGTTTCAGAAGATGCACTTTTCTCAAGACTTTTATTGAGAATTCAACACATTTCTGAAAGTCATTTAACACACAAAAAATAATGTATAATGTGCAATGTCATAAAACTCAGTTTCTAATAACTTTATCAATAATCACCCATATCATAATTTAAAAAGAAAACATTTGATATTAAGTATACTTTGTACCTACGCATAAAAGGGCATCTTCTGTAATAAGTTTTACAGGAAAAAAGTAGCATGGCTTACTCTGAAAATATATATTAGAAAATGTGGGTTTAGACTGTATCTAAAAAAAATTATACTTCTTTCCAATTGATAGTAACCTATTCAAATAAAAAATCACTAAAAATCAGATCCCTAACTTAGCTCTAAATAGTTGCTCGTCAACTCATTTTTTTTTTACATTTGACCAACATAAGAAATTTAAATTATTCATTTAAAAAATTCTAACTAGAAACCCAATAAAACATTTTTACAATAAAGAAAAAGATTCTTAAAGCTGAAATATGACACTTCGAAATCATTTACTTGATATTTCACGATAACAAAACAAGGTGTTATTGTGAAACAGCAAAAGAAGAACTCCCAATTGTATTCTGGCCTTTATGAATCTTTTTGAAATTTGAAATAATGTTGACTGGTTGTCGAGTTAGAATTGTTCACAACTTTTTTGAAGCCAAACCGATTGACAGAGTTAGCACACCCTGCCACCGCTCAAACCCCATTTGACAACGTCAAAACGGTCAAGGCCGTTTGCCCAAGAGGTCGCTCCCCTTGCGAAACGTCCCGCTTAACTACCCCAGCTAAAGCTCGTCGACCTCTTCTCCGGGCTTCCTCTCTTGTTCCTTCTACACAATACGTGTAACATTATATCACCAGTGCAATATAAACCGTAACGTTTACTAAGTTCGTTATTTGCATAATACTACAGTATAAACTACTTAAGTATATTGCTTCCCCCCGAGTTTTAAAAACTTATGGTAAAATAAGAGCAACTTTGTCTGCGTGGCTACAATATCATATGAAATGACAGAACGTCATTTAAAAACAGCTATATTATGCTAGATAACAAAATATACCCAACCTTTTAATAGCACATTATATTATTATTATATGTTCATATTATGAAGTATATACCACAAATACAGACCAGATGAGTCGTTCTTGTAAGTTAACAGTCTACATACACACTACTGTAATTGTTTAACACGTTAACAAACCTAACAGTATCACAGAAGATATTATACCTTCATCAGAAGGGACACTTATAATGTGAACAAAAAAGGAGCAACCATCCCCTGGTAAACTGTATAGTATATTGGTTTAAATTATACAAACATAAATAATAACATAATAATAAACATAGTATTAAACCATTTGTATGAAATAGTTGATAATATAAATACTACCCCGATTTATAGGGGGGAGGGTGGTTATATATGAAAAACGCTGTCGGTCAGGTGCCGAAAACTCGATCAGCGCCCTCAAAGGGTGTAGTCGACGGCTTTGAATTCAAATAATTTATGCGTACCGTCATATGTTCACGAATTCTGTTTATACTCTGCAGAATTTTTTTCACTCAACTTTTTATATAGTCCCAGAAAAGAATAACAGTAATCATATCTTGCTCAGAAAAAAAAAACACTAATTATGAGTTTTATCAATCACCTTTTTTTCAATAATGGGCATGGCCAATGGTAAAAATGTTAAAACGTTTAGATTAGCACAAAAGTTGTAAGCAAAATTTCTTCTATTTACTTATTTTCCAACAAAGTATAAAATCACATTTTTCTCAATATTATATCCATTGCCGCGTGGAAAAAATACATTGAGAACAATTGAAAGACTGCGGGGAAAAAAGATCAATGTCAATTTTTTTTGAAAATGAGATTTTGGTATCAAATTATTTGTATTGATTTATTGTATCTTTTATGCGCTCGAACCAGGGAAAAAATAGATTAGTCGAGAGTAACGACCGCCGGAAGTTTAGGCATACAGGCAAAATGTATTACGTTTTGAAATTAAAAACATGATTTTCTCAGAATGTTAAAAAATTGACATTGATCTTTTTTCCTCGCAGCCCTTCAATTGTCTATTCTACTAATAACTTTGTTCTGATCAAATTTTTATTTGTATTGAGAAATTTTAACCGGTTCTCGGTTTAAACTATTTTTTAGTCTGTCTTTGCTTTTAATATAAACGTTTGTCTTATTAGTGTGTTAAACATTTACAAGTTTTTAAAAACTTGCCTCAGGTAAGCTAATTTTTTCATCAAATCACATTAATAACAGTAGAATCTGTATTATTATACAGTTATTAATTATGTGACAAGCTTTATATATTATAATGTACATGTTTCCAAATGCAAATGGGGTTTCCTTATAATTAGCTATTTCTTAACAAAACACCATTACACTTACATAAATTGCATATACGTATGTATATATTTGTAATTTGGGTCATTAACCTGTTATTTAATATAACTTATTAAAATAAACTACACAGCATTATGTATAGCAATTACCTCATTTCATATGTAAAGATTAGGCTATAGTAATTTTTGCGTTTTAGAAAACTTAATAACAATTAATGCATACTAATGGAAATTGTTAATTAATATTATTTCCCCGGAGTTGTTTAGACATTATGTTTCTCGTAGAAATTTTAGACATTGGCTTAGTATGTGTTTTTTATCGAGGGTTAATTTTTATACCGGGGTTACATCTAATTATTAGAATTAGTATTCCCAGTACTGTTGCGCATTATGAACATTTTTTATACACAGAGTTACATTTTTAGATAACTCCCACAAAAGCAAGCAAATATTATAATACAATACTAGGCTATTTGTTTAGAACGCGGACGTTTTGAGAGACACTGAAGAGGAGCGCCAACGACGTTTGTCGCACAACGGTAACACGGCCTCTCTTACCCTCTTATCCCTTTAACTACCTCTCCTTTAGCCATACAGATCGTTATTCGGACGACCAGGACAGTGATAACGTGATAACGACATGGTGGTCATGATAGTGGTCGTATAAAGTGCTTCGTTTAATGTAAATATTGATACCTACTGTAACTCGAGTAATCTTAAACACTTTTTATTTGATATTATTATAACAGATTCATGAACAAATAATATCATTTTACTAATTAATTTACATGATTATAATAATTAACCGTCGACATTTATGAATGAACAGTTCGTTAAAGTATTTAAATGTTTGTGAACCTTCGACCGTATATTAAGCGTAAACCCTAAACCCACATTTTGATGATTTCGTTACTCTTGAAAGGTTTTCAAAGAATAATAAATAATAGATGCTATGAATAAAATTCTACTTGGCCTTCAAGTTATGTGCATTTATTATCAATCATAATTGTTACAATTAATGCCAAGGGGGCACACATAGACGGAGCTTCTATGTATATACTCATTGTCCAACGCAATTGTCTTTTGGCCTTAAAAAAATTGTTTAAACTTTTTAAGTACTCAATTACAGTTCCTTAGTGTTTGTTTTTGTATTTCAATATTATTCGTATATTATATTATGTACTCGATGGAATAGTTTTCGACAGTGTATTTTAAAATACAGCATTTGAGTACGTTTAAAAAGTACTTTTACTACACTGTATGACAAAATAATAAATATATCTATAACAACAAAATACTCAAATTCCCATAAACCAGTAATTTTATTACTGAAAAATATTTACTTTAGCTAAAAACGTTTCATACAGTATATATATTATTGTTGTACAATGAGTTTTAAACCCGTTTAGTAGTACATATTTATAGTTTGTCAAAACTAATTAAAACCATTTTTTTTTGGTTGTACAAAATCCCTGCAAAATTATTTAGTTAAGAGTAAGGTTTTTTTTTAAACGCCTCATCTTTTACGGTTATTGGCGTTTCCAAAACACATACATCACGTTTTACTATTATAACTTTAAAGTTATGATAACCATATTTGTAAATAGCCTGCATTCCATTGCATATGAAATGACTATGTACTATCTTATAATAATCTTGTATTATTCTTTGAAGAAAGTTTAGCCAACATAATTGTTGACTACGATAGTTATGACTTATGATCAAAATCATCATATTATTGAAGATTACACCGTCGGATTACTTTACTGTATTTTTAACGGTATGTACCTACTATACGAACGTTTTTGGCTGAAAACCACATCATGCCTTCGTTACTATGTTTGCATACTAATAATATTATCAATTATCATTGTCGGGTACTCGAGGAGACTGACCTTTGCTAGGTGTCCTTCGGGGTCATCGGGCCCGTCGATCATCTTATCGGGCTATCTTTGCCATTGGCCTGCTACCAGAGACCCGCACGGGCGCCAAAGGCGGTTATAGGTACCGCTGCGGCGACCGGTCGCACCCGCCTCGGGCGGACGGCGGCAACGACGGCGGCCGGACTCCGGCGTGTACGCGGTTCGAGGTGGGCCACACCGGTTTTTTTTATCCGCGGCGGCAGTAATTAAATTAATTTTTTTTTTAATTTTTTAGTCAACCAAAAAATCTATTATTATTATTAATATATCGAACGACACGCCGTCCGTATATGACTTTTATCCGGAGTGCGCGCACACCACACACCGCACTGGCGCGGACGCGTTTTATCTAGACGTGAACATGACGACGTTTGTACATTAGCCGGACGCAATAACCGCGCGAAAAAAAAATAATAATCGCGTTTTATATTTTTCGAAAATATATTTCTTATTACTAGCTCATAATTTTTTATTATTCTATTATAACCTATTATTTTTTTTTTTTTCTTATACAATTTTTTTCCCCTCTATCCGTCTGCCGTGCGCGCGTATCTCGGCCGTCACAACGCACTCGGTCCGGACTGCTGTGTGCGCGCTACTACTACCGCGGCGGCGACGGCGGCTCCTCCGGGGCGCCTCGCACACCCCTATATACACCGCGACTGGCCTCGGCCGTTCTCCCCCTCTGCGCCACGCACGAACCCCCGCTCGCAGCCAGGCCGACGGCCCCTGCCGCTAACAACGCCGCGTCGATAAGTTGCCACGTTGCCGTTTCGCTCACCGCAGTCCGCTTATACCGATATTATATAGAAATAATAATATTGTAATATACACGAATAATCATAACTTAGCGCCGTTTCTTTCTACCACCCGTATATACCTATTTCATACACACACACACACAATACCTATATAATAATATTTTAGTATAATTTCGGCTTACGTTCAGCGCTTTTGTCCGAGTTACGCCCGCAAGAATATATTCAGGCCGAACGAGAGCTTCACCTGGTCACGGGCACGTTGTAAGAAGTCACAGCTCCAACGGACGTCTCTTGGAGAAAATAACCCCCCCCCCCTCCCACTCGTTTAACCGGGTTAAAAAATTGTACAAACCAATTTTATCTAGTTAAGTACATTTTGTACTGCTTGTGCAATATTTTATTCTGGTAATTTGTCTAATTGTTATTATCTAATGTGTTCTATATAATAGTGTATTCTGTACACTTATTGGGCGTTAAATATTTTTTTAATAAATAACTAAATGGTTCGTTTTCCCACACTGCACAATGTTTCGCGAAATTGGAACGATTAACAATCGTTTAGAAACCGTTCTAACGACTTTTATATAGTTTCTGAATGATTTAGAAATAATTCCAAATTCGGGATATTGTACACTTCAGTAGCCTAGACCATAAATACAGTCAGAGTTGTAGGAATTCTTATTCGAATAAAACGTTACTCGAATATTTTTTCCACAATTTATTCGAATAATTATTTTTGTTTTCCTACATAATATACTGGTTTTAAATATTTTGTAAAATATGTAGTATGTATTATATTTAAACAAAATAATGTTTTAAAATAGAATTACTTTAAATAAGAACGCGCTCATAAACTATTAAAATAATATGTTTAAAAATTATTCAAATAATTATGTTTGGAATTATTCGAATAAAAAATTATTTGAGTAATTATTTTTGACAATTTTCAAATCAAAATGTATTCGAATAACTCTTACTTGAATAATGTGTTATCTGGTTAACGTTTTATTCGAATGATACACAACTATGGTTACAGCTTCGAGGATTTGACATAGCCGATGTCTATGATGCAGATATATTCATACACGGAACTAACTATAGCTGTACCTCCTTTCCTTGTGAATTAATTTTTTATTTAGAGCTTCACAACCGTTCAGTCAACACAAACAGTTTCGAGTTTTTATCTTAAAGCAAAATTTTAGTTCATGTACATTATAAAATATTATACTATGACAAAGATTTTTTTTTTTTTAATTATTTTTTTATTTTTAACAAATGAGTATACGCGGTCTGATTGTATTAAACCCGCCAAGAAATAATTTTTCGTCGACCTGTTCCTAGATTAGACGTTCTCATTTGTAGTTTTAGATTCGCACTAGGATCCGTCTTACTGTCGTGTTCACCCATTTACCACGTCGGACTTCTTATCAGACCTAAGTCATAAATTATTATTACATACATCTTCTCTGTAAGTGCCAGTTAACAAAGTAGGTCATTTGATAATAAAAAAAAATAATGCAATTTTCATTATTTTTTTTTTAACAAAAGTTTGGATATTGTGAAGTGTGGTAACTCATAATGATATTAAAACAAAAATCTTACCATAGATAAAGGGAACCGATTCGAAACCATAATCGATGCATACTGTTTGCTTTAATTCAGTGCTTCTTTTAGCACTCGGACTTATGATGGTGATGACAATAGTATAACAAAAACCTAAGAGAGAAGGTTCATCAGTTGCCATGGGAGAGTACGGTTTTCATGGACCATCTAATGGGAAAGGTAATACCTAAATAGCAAAGCGGGATGTACGATATGCAGTGTGAAGTAACTATTAATTATAACAAGCATTGGGAGTTAATAAAATGGAAGCACTTTTTGGTTTCTCGACCAAGGTTATTATATTGTGCCGTGGCCTTGGCAACTCAAAGTTCGTGATTCGTTTTGACATGATTAAATTTAATTTTCTTCCGCCGTCATCGCCTCCGGTTAACCAGGTGGTAAACAATATGTACTTGTAAATACTACAACGAGGGATGTTTCGGACTTGGGATCTCGTCGTCCGGCCTGCATTAAAAATATATGTTTCATTTGAGTACGTCATAATATACTCATCTTCAATGATACTTTCATTTTTCGATTTTTATTTTGAATTTTATTTCAAGCTTTAAATGTGCAAGTCGTGATTCGTCAATCGACTAAAAAATCGTTTTTCTTATAATATTCTGAAATTTCTACGTAACTGGCAAAATGAACATTATAAAATCTGCGAGACCATATTATGTTTTTTACACAATAATCTACGGATATAAAAAAACACCCACGCCAATCACTATTATAGTTAGTAAAGTGAGTAAATCGCACCGTCATAGGTAATAACCAAATCATTTGTATTGTAATCATTCTAACGTTATCATTCGCTCTTTGTGACTTAACCGATCAAGGGTCGTCTTCGGACCAGTTCAAGGGCGATCAATTATTGTCGTCTTGTATACGGTTTTACTCAGTCTTATATACTGGGCAATAATTTTGCGGCGTGGCGGACACGTCGAACAAGTGGCTCGTATATAGTCTCACTGGTGCTCTGGAACGCCGTGTATCGATTATATTATATACCACGGTCGAAGCGCGTATGAATAATACAAACTTTTTATATATATATATATATATATATATATATATATATACTAAAGAATATAATATAATAAAATATTAATTATTATACCCGCTATAATAGACGATCGGGCTTTGTAGTGACGTGACGTGTAGAAAAATAGCAGGGTGCTATTACATATAGTTCACCGACTTGAACGAGTATATTGTTTTCAACATTGGCCCGTTACACTATTGATTGGCGGCGGCAGGTCAGAAAACAGTATCATTAGGTATAAATGTGGTATAATATATATTTATATGTGTGTATACGTTTAATAAAAATAAGGTAGAAAAAATTCTAAATTCAACCATACAGAGCATATTGTGCCACAGTGTATGTGTCTAGGGAGTTCATTAACCGTGTCACGAATCCCAACCACGTTGTACCGTCGTGTGTAAATAGTTAATGGTTCCCGTATTGACCGCATCCGTATGGCGGTTAATAATTCCATTGTATGTGTGATGTGTGTGTACACTGTATACATACACTGTGTCTCTTGATCGCTTACCAAAGGCTTTTTGCATTCTGTCTGATCGGCAGAAGCGTTGTCTGAGGGGTTTTTCGTTGACATTTATCCTGGGACACCAATGGCCCAGATTAAACGAAGCTAGGTATATATTTGATATATATCTTATAAAAGAGTTATTTATTTAGTTTTAGTGCAATCAATTTTTTCTTATAGTATATCCATTTGGGCAGACATTTTTAATAATCTTATATTCAAGCTAAGTGTTATAAATTGCATTATTAAATCTTTCTATGCAAACTAGCTCTATTTTAGTTTATGAGAAACTTAATGTAAAGAATTTTACGATTATTTTACGATTATCCGTATTAGTAGATTTTTATAATACAAACACAAGCATTTAATACCTGTGACAGATCATAAACATAATACTAGGTATAAATAAAATATTAATATACGTTTACTGAATTGTCTGGAAAATTTTTGGACAAAAAAGTGTTTTATTTACCGGTTTAAATTTATGTCGTTTATTAAATATTAGTATTAAATAATTTTCATTTCATCGTCAGCTTAACAGGCATTTAAAGGCCAACGATGCCATGATGGGTTCTATTAAAAATAATAAATAAATAAAAGAAATTGAAAATTATTTAAAAAATTTACTAAGTACAAAATACATTTTGTTAGTCATACAAACGTTTGAATACACATTTGATGTACTTATTGTTAGCTTATCCTTAATTCGAACAACATTTGTTAATTTATTAAAACTAAACTTCAGATAAAAATAGTACAGTTAAAATAGTTTTTTTTAATTCGTTTTGTGATCACTTTTTTAAATTTGACTATGAAACAGTGTTAACTGGTTTTTATCATTAAGACAGACAACTTTTAGAAAACTTCATTTTTACTCTACTTTTATACTTTATTACTCAACTAAGTTCTTTTGATTTATACTACATTAAAACCTACAATATATTCCACTCGTTGGGTAACAATTAATTGACACTGAAGGAATACGATGTACTATTGGTCTAAACCAATTAAAAATGTGCAGCGTTCCTTGTTATTTATCGTTACGCTGACTTATCAAAATTGTATTTATGGAGATTATATCAATGTACACTTTATTTGGATGTATTTAAAATCAAAAGATGCTTTTAGACCAACCGAATAAATCTATAAAATTGATCACAACAATAACTAATTTATATTATAATTAATAATACTTTGTGGTCGGGAGGGAACAACATGTTTTTATTAACACTTTGTTGCGTTGATAACATAAACAAATTAGTTATACGTTATATTGTTTTGTATAGCTCAACAACAAAAATTAATGACGAGAAGTATATAAGTCTAAGCACCGTTGAAACGCATCGGAGTTTTTCTACAGCATATAGATTAAAGACTAACTGTTGACAATTCGGTGTAATTAGAATACGGCTTGTGGTCTTTTGTAAAAAAAATAGGTACCTATAGTGTATTGGTAATAATCATTAGTCATTATACACAACCCGTATAGTATTTATGGTTCAAGAAGACATTTTGTTGAAATTATTAGTTTGTAATAATTGATGAGTTTTACAGTTTCGCCGTTAAGCGTGTTATGCTAATGAACTTTTGCAATAACAATATAGGTATGTGAGCTGTGGTAACTTCTTACTGAAAATGAAAATACACGAAAACCAAATTAC